TATTAAGCAGGGTGTGTGCCTTCTTGTAAGTTTTCTGGAATATTACATCAGGTGATTATTATTTTATCACTATTTTTTGCCAAGAGATTATATCTGGGCACAGCTGATTGCACAGTTACATCATGTTTTTCTATGAAAAACTGCCATCACATGTCTTCTCTCTCTCTCTCTCTCTCTCTCTCTCTCTCTCTCTCTCTCACACACACACACACACACAGATCTTAGACAGAGTGCACACATATGAAAGATTAACAGATTCTACACACACACACACACACACACACACACAGAGAGAGAGAGAGCTCTTAGCCAGAGTGCAAACATCTGAAAGATTAACAGATTCTAGCATAAGCTTTAATGCCCTCGAGTCTTCTTCATCAGGAGTATGAAGTGAATTCTCAGCTGGAAAGCAGCGTTATAGGGAGGAGGAGGAGGATTATTTATACCCCACTCCTTCCCTTCCTCTCCCCACAACAGACACCCTGTGAGGTAGGTGGGGCTGAGAGAGCTCTCTTGAGAACTGCCCCTGAGAGAACAGCTCTGAGAGAACTTATGACTGACCCAGGGTCACCCAGCTGGCTTCATGTAGAGGAGTGGGGAATCAAACCTGGTTCTCTAGATTAGAGTCTGCCACTCTTAACCACAACACCAAACTGAAACATAAGTGCAGTGCCAATTCACAATCATAGTAATATCTTTGCTTACACGTTCAGAATCATGTGTGCTGTGTACATTGTATTGTATGTGCTTGCCCTGCCTTTAATGTATACATAAAGCTGAATATCTACACTTGTATGTGCATAAACTCCTCTATGTGACCACGACTGATAATATGTGGTCTTTGTCCACTCCTTAGAACATGTGATCCATTTCTTGCCAAATTCGAATACAGTGGTTTCCCACTGGAGTCTTCCTTTGAAGTGCTTTGTTGAAGAATGGTGATTTTTAGGTCAGCATTACAGTGTCCTGGAAGACTGAAATCTTCTCCCACTGGTTTGCTGAATATTGCTCTTCCTGATATCTGATTAGTGTCCATTTACTCTTTTGTGCAGAGAATGCCATATTTGTGCTATATAAAGAGCAGAAGGGCACATTCAAAGGGTGAGTCTATATATCACATGCACATCCCCTGATAATGTGGGCTGATGTTACTGGGTCTTATAATAGCATTGCTGAAGTGGATATGGGAACCAAGTTAGCATCTGGGTTTGATCCCTGGGTGAGTCACTGTTGGGTGGCCCATTGTTGCTAGCAAGTCCCTGTTTTAGGCCTCATCCATGTGCTGAGGCGTCTCTGTTTTGTATTCATCTGGAAATACAGATGGTTCACTTTTGTAATAGAGCTTCCACATTGTAATTTTCTGTGCATTTCCCTCTATCAGCCACCATTGTCCTTGAATATTTTCCTCTACTGTGCCACTGGAGGGGTTTTTAGAGACTTTTTAAAAAGGTAACTGGTACAGTGTTATAGGGAGGGAAGGTGGCATGGTATAAACCAATCTCATCAGATCTCAAAAGCTGAGCAGGGTCAGTACTTGGAAGGGAGGCCACCAAGGAAGATTCTGCAGAGGAAGGAAATGGCAAACCACCTCTGCATCCTACTTGCCTTGGAAGCCCCTTGCTGGGGTTGTCAATGTCATAAGTCAGCTGTGACTTCAGGGCACTTCACATACACACAGACACACAGAGAGAGTGTTGTAGGTATCGCTAATTTTTTAATTAGAAAGCCTACAAAAAGTCTTCCAGTGGTGTGGTTGGAGAAATGGCTGCCACGAGGGGCTGAGAAGAGAAAAAATAATGGCACCAACATGAGTGGCAGGGCCAATTCCAGGTTTTGGGGGGCCCTGGGAAGCAAATGATCATGGGGCCTCCTTCTTTCCTCTGCCCACCACCAGGATCCCCATCCATGTGCCCCCTGCCACCTGCTTGATGGTGCTGGGAAGTGTGGTCTTACTCACTGATCTGTTTTGACTGCTGTCGATACACTGATGCCTTAACTATTTTACTGAGGCCCCATTCACATGGCGAATTTGCCGCGGGAGAGCCATGGATGCCGGGTGGATTATCCGTGCGTGATCACACCGCCACATCTGGCAAGTGTAGCGCACCCATGGCTTCCCGCTGAAAACCCGCAGTTAAAAATACCTGCCAAGAAGTACTAGCAACCCGTTTGCCACAGGCTGCTGACGGAATCGGGTGGTGTGATCGCGCCGGCGCGCAAGTATCCCCTCCAGCCATCGTCTTTGTCGTGGGCGCTGACCAACGAAACCCCGCTGCACCGCCGTTGCGTCTGATCGCATAATCGCAGATCAAACTGCGACAGCGCAAACAGCCACGCCTCCCCCCGCGTTATCCGGCCTGTCTGACCGGGGCCTGATTTGTTTTACTTGCACATTATAGTTGGCACTTGAAGCGAAATGTTTATGCTGAGAGGCAGGCCATAAATCTTTTACATAAATAAGTGATATTCTCTACCTTCCTCTTTTGGGCTGCTCTGCAGTAGCCCAAGTATCTGCCAAATCTGGCTTTAGGCACCTTTGGGTATGCTGGGTAAATTAAGCCACCAATCTGGTTCTGTCATTTTCCTTGACAACCAGTGTGGCATAGCGGTTAGAGAGTTATACTAGGATCCCTCCTTTGCCAGCTGGTTGAGCTTGGGCCAGTTGCACTCTCTCAGCCTAACCTACCTCACATGGTGGTGGTTATGAGGATAAACTGAAGGAGGGAAGAACAGTGTTGGCCACCATGAGCTCCTTTGAAGAAAGGGTGGGGTAAAAATATACTAAATTAAATCATTTTGTTAGTTGTTGTAGATTTTCTGGGCAGTATGGTCATGGACTTGGCATTGTTGTACCTGATGTTTCACCAGCACCTGTGACTGGCATCCTCAGAGGTATAACACAGAAAGATGGAGTACTCTCAGTGTCAATGTGAGAAGAAAAATGGTAGGCAGGTAACTTATATCTACTCAGGAAGGTGGGGTAGGGGTGATTCATTGTCTTGTAGGAGTAGCCCAGGCTGTGACGTGCTAACGGAGGAGCTTTCCTGAGGAGGTTCTTTTGCATATGGATTGGCTGTTGAAATTCTAATCTTATCAGTAGTGCTGTTGTAAAATGTAGAGCATTTTGTGTTTTTCAGGACAGGAAACCATGCCTTATTTATTTTTAAACTCTCTTCTTCCTGTTGAAATTGTGTTTATGTTTATGAATTTCAATGGCTTCCCTGTGTAATCTGACATGGTAATTGGATATGTTGTCCAGCATTTCAGTGTCTTGGAATAAGGTACCATGTGTGTTTGAGTTAGGCTATGTTCAGGCACTGCTGATTTTTCAGGTTGGCTAAGTCTGCAGTGTCTTTCATGTTCTTTTATTCTTGTCTGGATGCTACACTGTGTGGTACCGATGTAAACCTGTCCACAACTGCAGAGTATACAACAACTTATGAACTCCAACTGTGAAAGCCTTTGACAACATATTAAATCATTTCACTTCATTGGGTGGGTGCAGCAGTTTAAAGAGTGCCTGCTGAGAATCCTTCAGGTGTGGTATAAGCTGCTGTCCAAAAGGGAAAGAAATGCAATTGTGTCACAGGGCTTGGCAGTAGCTAGTGAATCATGTGGTGCACTTTGGGTGGTAACTGGTAGTGTACCAGTCAGTGAGTTGCTGGCATAAGGTGGTGCTTATGTGCCCATTTATAGTATATGTCTTTAAGAAGCCTTCCTCCTATGTTTTCTGTTTTACCACAACAGTTTACACAACTACCCTACTAAGATTTGATCCAGGATGTAGAATTACCACCTTTTGATTCTGCGGCTTCAACAGCTAGGTAACAGGTAGAAATTTAGCAGGTAGAGCTTTCCCCATTTCAGAGATGAAGTCATGGACAGAAAGAACTACTCACCTGCTAAACCTCACTTTTTTACAATGCTGTGAAAAGCATAGAGCCTTACCATAAACAAGTGGTGACTCTAATTCTTGAGTGACTGTTTGGATTACATTGGGTTGGACCCCTCATATCTGTTTTGCTAACAGCAACACTTTCCTCCAGTACAAAGAGCCTTCTGACACAAGAGGGGGTCCTTGTATGGGGGTGGGGAGGGAACGACATAAAACCTTTACTGGGATGAATCTGCAGAATCCAGCCCCAGAGTTTTGTTCTCTGATAACATGAGCAGAATTATTTCATTCCATCTACCAATGAAGTAGTATTAAAATTAAGTCTTTCCTGATTAATATCATTCACTGGACCCCAAAGTTCAGTTTTGTGGTTATCCTGAAATGGATGGAAAATGAATATTAAAGGTGCAGAAAGAAAGCCAGCCCCTAAGGAAATCCAGATTCTAGCAGAAGGTTTCAATTACTGACAGTTTTCTTATTAGGTTGGGTCCAATGTTCCCTCTAAGCTGAGTTATTGTGAGCTAGCTCACAATAACTCAGCTTAGAGGGAACATTGGTTGGGTCCCTCCATCTTTTTAATTCAATCTTGCCCAGTTCGCACCCACCCCACCCCCACATGGCTTTCGTCCATGCAGACCCCAAGATCCTAAGCTACCCTTTTTTGATAGTAAAAAGGAGGGCTCCCTTCTCTTTTTCACCAGTGGAAAAACTGGTTGGATCCAACATATTATTTGAAAAGTAGATGCATATAATTCAGAATTATTGCCTGATTTTATTGAAGGACATAGAAGTGTCATTCATTTTTGTCAGGACTTAATTTCCCCCTTTCCTTCAGAACGTGTTACCTAGAGCAGGAGACACGGGTTTGACTCACAGCTAAAATTAATGTACCTAATTTATGTAATCATCAATGTGATCAACAGTGTGACTCATACATGAGAAGTAATTTATGCCTTGAGTCAGAATTTACGTTCTGTAATAACAGTTTAGAAAGCCAACAGGCTGCCCTATGCGGAAGTCCTCTTTTGACGTTTCCAAGGAAGCATGACAGTAACAACCCAACAAACTTCCCTGACTAGGTATAGACAAGCAACTGTCGTTCAAAGAACAACTTGGCAATACACTGTCTTTGACTGGCTAAGTAAGTACCCATTCAGCTGATACTTTGCTAAGTGTAGAACTGGTGTAGTATAGTTGCTTAAGAGTGAAAGAGGCGTGCTGGCAGTCCCTGATTCAAAACTTTACTTCACGGGAATATGAATTCATTATTTCAAAGAGTTTGGTCAAATGTATATAAGTGGTTAGAAACCAACGCAAACCTATAATGAATATATATAAAAATTTAGGTTCAATACTTAGGTTATATGAGGAGAAGGATATGTTATGTTCTGTTTAAGATTGTCTTAGTTATGTTTTGTTTGATGTATGTACTATAGAAAATAAAAATTTATTATGGGGGGAAAAAAACTTTACTCAGAGTTCACCAGGTGATCTTCAACAAGGCATTGCCTCTCCATTATCATCTGTAATATGGGGGCAATAATATCGGTCTCCCATACATGGCTGTTGTAAAAGATTAATGAGATAATGTATGTAAAAAACTTCGAGAACATGGGGTGTGAGGGTTGTTGTTTTTTTGCATAACTCAGCAATCCTGTACTTTCTAATTATTCTAATCACTTGTTACTTAGCAGCATGAAATAAAGCCTGTGTTTGATTCTCATTATGCTTGGGTTGCTAGGTCCTCCCCGGCTGCCGGCAGCCAGTGGGGGAGTAGAGTTGCCAGCTCCAGGTTGGGGAACTCCTGGAGATTTGGAGGTGAAGCCTGGGGAGGACCGGGGACCTCAGTGGGGGCACAATGCCACAGAGTCCACCCTCCAAAGGATCCACTTTCTCCAGAATAACTGATCTCTGTAGTCTGGAGATGAGCTGTAATTCTGGGGGATCCCCAGATCCCACCTGGATGGTGGCATCCATACATTGTACTCAGATTACATTGGACAGTGTCACACTTGATGCCCTGGTGACTTGAACTCTTTGCATAGGGAGAACCCAGTTGAGATCCATAATCAGTTCTTCCAGCAGTTTGTTTTGGTTTTTTGGTTAAAAAATAGCTGTGTGGGGTAACTGTATGTTTTTGCTCATGGGGCCTGAAAAGTACTGGGTTCGATACATCAGGACGCGGACCACGACATCGGAGAAGACTCGTTTATTAGTACTTAACATATGGAACAAAAACTAACGGCCATGTGGCCAACTTTATACAATTGGGGAGGGACACCCCTAGGTTCTATTGGCGGGTTTGAACTTCCCGCCAATGTCCCTATTCGCTCCTTGTAGTTCAGGAGCCTAGTCCCTATTGTCTTCTGGATTGTAGCTCTAGATGCCTCTGGCTGGCGCCTGTCAGTGATCTGAGGACACAACAGGGCAAAACTGGTGTTTGATTTGTAGTGGGAAATGGTATGTGGGGAAAGGGTTAGCTCCCTCCCTCTCCATATGCTGTGGCTTCCCTCCAATCCCCTCCTCTGTAGCTTTTTTTAAACTGTAAAGAGCCAGTTTGGTGTAGTGGTTAGGAGTGCAGACTCTAACCTGGGAGATCCGTGTTTGGTTCCCCATGCCTCCACATGCAGCTGCTGGTGTGACCTTGGGTCAGTTACAAGTTCTTTCAGAGCTGTTCTCTCATCAGCAGTTCTGGAGAGATCTCTCTCAGCCCCACCTACCTCACAGGGTGTCGGTTGTGGGGAGGGGAAAGGAAAGGAGATTGTAAACTTCTCTGAGACTCCTTCGGGTACTGAATGGAAGGGTATAAATCCAATCTCCTCCTCTTCCTCCTCTTCTTCTTCTTAATTTTTTTTTACAAAAATTAACAAAACAATTAAAGACGAGAAGATCTAATCACAGACTTCCATATGACTTATTCATTCTGATCTTTCTTCTCAGGGACTGTTGCAATGTGACCTCCTTCAGCCCACCTCACTGAGACAGGATTGAATCTGGGGATGGTTGTTGCTGCCTTTCTCTGCTGAGGCTGCCGTGCAGCGGGGGCAGAGGGCAGGTGTGAGAAAGTCATTGTTGATGCAGCGCAGTTCCCCATGCAGAGCATAGGACCCAAACCTTGATATAAAACAACCACTGCATAACAGTCATATCTACTAAGCAGAAAATCGCTTATAGCAGTGGCTCTCAACCAGTTGTATGTGTACCACCAGTGGAACAATGAAGTATTCTACTTGGGACTCAGTTTTCACAACAAAGAATTCACTTTCCATCAATCCTTGAGTCCACCTGCCGCCACTGTGACATGCCATTTCCTGCCAACCCTACCTGCCATGGATTACCCATCTGTGATCTTTTGGCATGCTAGCGGTAACTTTTGACACTTGGTGTCTCTCCTAATCTTGTTTCCCTGCCCACCAGTCAGTATCTTTGATGTGACAATTTCGGCTGGCCCTACCTGCCACAGATAATTTATTGGGCTTCTGTTATTTTGATGTCCTTAAAATTTACCATAGATAATAAATATAATAACAGAATGCCTATAAGACATGCAAATGTCCTTCTTGGGAAAAGTGGGATTTTTGTTCTTACTAGGGTTGCCAAATGTTACTTACCTCTCCGGCGGGGGACTCCTGCACGGCTCCCGGAGCGCACGCACGCAAAGCACGCGCACAGCGCATGCACGTCACAGGGAAGTGACGTCATGACACCGGGCACCCTGGGGGCAGGGCCACGACCATACAAGGGAAAACCATAGAGTTTTCCCTTGTATGGCTGTGGCCCCGCCCCCAGCATGCCCGGCGTCATAACATCACTTCCCTGTGACGTGCATGCTGGGGCGGGGTTCCCCCCGGGGCCCGATTCCCCGGCGTCTGGGAACGGGCCTCTGGGGCGGGGGGATTTCCGCCCCCCGGGGGGATTTGGCAGCCCTAGTTTTTACCATAGTGGGATCCAGGTTCTTTGAAAGAATGATTGGTGGGATGTAAGATATAAAGGGCTGAGAACCACTGTCCTATACTACATTCAGTGGGTTCTTTAGGGGAAGGGCTGCTAAGTATAATGTTACTAGTTCAAGAACACTCTTCAGTGGTTGTCATGATCTGGGCTGTGCCACCAGAGGCCTACTAGGCCCAGGGAGCCTGACTAGCAGTAGGTGAGGCTGGGCCTACAACTCCCAGAAGCCCGAGAGGTTTTGGAGCCAAAATTGACCAATAGGAAAAGAGGAGGGCTTGGAATAAAAGATCTGGAGCAGCAGGAAAAGCTTTTCTTCTGCGCAGGGAACAGGGCCAGGAGAGGCTGCTGTGGGGGAGAGACCCTCATCCTGACGGAGGGGTGAGTAGTCTAGTGCCACTTGGAATAGTGAGCTAGGGACTGTATATATTTAGATGCATTAGGTCATTTGATTTTGTTAAGTCGTGCGCTTAACAAGAGTCGGAGAGTGATTTCAGCAAGAATGCGGTTTATTCTTCAGCTTAGTTACGGTACAACGATCGCCAGCCAGAACCCATCATCAGAACGAGACGGGACGGAACGGAACATACATACACTGGCTTGTCGATATTTAAACATTCCCGGCTAGTGTAGCCACACCCCCTGTACAAATAACAACCTATGAGGTTGAAGATATAAAGGCCAATCACAAGCGGTCCCGCTTTACAGCGTGATTGGTAGACACTCTCTGGGCTAGGGCTCCTATTGGTTACATTAGGATCCTAGCCCAGGATGAAGCTCAACATGGCATCTCAATCAGGCGATTCACATATCAGTATTTACATTCACATAGCAGTTATATACAATGCAATACATAACAGATTTATTTTCTTTTCACCCACTTACTGTTATAATTCTGCACCTTGTTGTTTGTCCTCCTATAAAACAAACCTTTTCCTTGTTGTACTCTGCCTGGTCCTCTCATCTATTATTCGGCCAAAAGGGAGGTCTGAAGGTCTTGGGAGGGTGCTCTGGGCCTTCTCAAGGGATCCTAAATCCAGAGTGGTGGCAGCGTCAGGTGCGACCCCACCTGAACCGTGACAGTGGTGGTTGCAATTTTCTCTTAAATTCTGGAAAGCTTTTTACAGAGCAAGCATGTTAGTATGTCTCCAACACAACATGGAGATTGAAGCTGATATGACCCATTAATACCTTTATGAGGGTATTTTCTTTGGGATGTGCAGATAATACATGAGATTCTTATTAAAAACCTATTAGTGGTAGCCAGAATATTAGGAGGTCAAAACTGGACAAGGAAATTATCACCACAAATTGAATCACAGTTGTGTAGGGTGTGGTATATTGTGTGGTTTAAAAGGTTATAGCATACAAACATCTTTGGAAAAGAAAATCATACATACAGGAAATATTTACAAATAGATGGCAACCTTTTGTATTATATTGAAAGAGAACCAAACTCGAGTATGCTGCAAGGAATGAAATTTTACATTGTGTATAATTGATTATATAAAGGGTAATAGCTTGTAAGTATTGTTTATTTACATAGTAATAGTTGTATTATCTATCTATCGATATTGTTTATACATTCATTTTGAATGTTTATATATTATTCTATTTACATGTTTATTTTATAATATAACATTAGAACAGCTAAACTTGAGCTCAGTAGCTCCAGTGAAAAGCTGGTGTGGTGTCATGGTTAAGAGTGGCAGACTCTAATCTGGGGAATCGGGTTTGATTCCCACTCTTCCTCCACACGAAGCCTGCTGGGTGACCCTGGGCCAGTCACAGTTCTTTCAGAACTCTCTCAGCCCCACCTACCTCACAAGGTGCCCATTGTGGGGAGGGGAAGGGAAGGCGATGGTAAGCCGCTTTGGACTCAAGGCACAGAAAGGCAGGGTATAAAAAGCAACTCTTCTTAATGACAAAACTAACAACTTATTTGACAAACAGATCTATCTTGAAATTTGAGGAGAGATGGAGTGTCTGTTATGTAAGCAGGAGACAAACTTAAAATGAGAAACTCTAAAAATGGTTTATAAATGTAAAGCCACACAAATGTAATATAGTGGTGAAAAAGAACAAGTTTTTAATATAAAAGTATAATGAAGTGGATTTTGAACAAAATATATCTTACTTCTTATTTTTAATTGCGAGATAGATAATAGATCTTCCTTTAATTTTTGGTATATTAAAAGTTATACCTAGTATGTAGTGTTGAAGAAATATGCAATACAAAATATGTATTAATGATGAAGCTATTGTAGAAAATGTCTTAAAAATTCTAACAAAGGGGATGCCGGGGAGAAGTATATCTTTACTTCTTTGTTCAATATATCCTGTAAGTATAATGACTTTTGATAACTATGATTTGTTTCATAATCCCTATATAACCCCTTTCTTTTCTCTGTATCCCTTTAATGTTACTATTTTGTTTTGAAAATGAAAAATATAATAAAAAACAACTCTTCTTTTAGAGATCAACAAAATTTGGGGGGATGAATTGGTGATGGGAGCTTTGACTCACAAAAGCTCATACTCTAAATATCTCATCCGTCTCTAAGGTGTTACTGAACTCATATCTAGCTGTTCTACTGCAGACCCACAAAACTGCCCTCTGAAACTGCCTACATAACAGTAGTAACATAACATCTGCTTATCAGAAAATGGCTATACCACACTGGGAAGATTCATTTCCTTATTTGAAAAAGTAAGAGTCATTGTATGATTTTTTTGAAAAAAATGTTTTTCTTTAGAGAAAAGGGCTGCTATTTATAGTGTTAGTGGTTTAAAGCCACTCTTCAGTGGCCCCTGTGAAATTCTTTTACATTCTGATGAGTATACTGCTGAACAAGAGTGTGATTGCACCACTAGATCAGGCAGTTCAGAAATCCGTGAGCGAAACACCAAAGGAAGTTACAGCAGAGACACATCTGCCTATCACGTTTTGCAATACTAACTGTGCAACATCCTTTGCAAATGGGCACTTCTGCTGATAAGCAGACAGCAAGCACAAGGCATATTGGACGATGCTGGTCATGTAACAGAAGCATCCTTTCTTAAATCTCAGAGCCACGTGAGCATGGTGACCATGCAAAGAATTTTGCTCAGCAACATTGTTTAAGATTTGTCTTCGACCAGCCTCTGGGTCTTTGTACAAAGCGTTCTGAAACTGCATGAGCAGCTCAAAGATTGCAATGTTTTGAGCAACTCAGCAAAATTATTGTTGTATGAGCTCAGCTCTGGATAAAGGTAAAGGTTCCCTTGCTCGAAAGCCAGTCGAATCCGACTCTAGGGTTGCGGTGCTCATCTCCGTTTCAAAGCCGAAGAGCCAGCGCTGTCCGAAGACGTTTCTGTGGTCATGTTGCCGGCATGACTAAACACCAAGGCGCACGGAACGCTGTTACCTTCCCACTGAAGTGGTACCTATTTATCTACTTGCAATTTCTTGCTTTCGAACTGCTAGGTTGGCAGGAGCAGCTCTGGATAGACTTAGTCAAAAAATTCTTTCTCAACCTCAATTGAACCAAAACTCAGGCAGACTAGTATGCTGGTAATAAAGTATTTTCTATTCCCTTAGTGCTTCATAGAGCTCACTCGTGCTTCATAGGATAAAAACCTTTATCTGAAAAAGTGCTATGGCTTCACAGAGCAGAGATAGCACAGTGGTGAAGTGTAAGTATCCCCTAGTCCTTACTATGAAGATAAGGTATTGACCTGTCCTGTATGCATCACAGGTAATATATACTGGATCTGAACACATGCAAAGTACTGTATTAACAGCCTAATGGTATGGTTGCATATTTTCTTCAGCTGAGTTCACTGGCCTGCCTTACAGGACTGCGGTAAGCGTTTACTGAGGTAATCTGACATTCTTCGAATAGAAAATACTTTATTACCAGCATACTCCTCTGCCTGAGTTCAACTGAGTTTATTGGCCTACATTGCTATGGTAAACATTAGTGAGGTAATATATGTGAAACGCTTTGAGTAGTAAGCTTATTTGTAAGTGCATTCTATTGAGTTCACTGGCACTCACTCCAGACCCAAACAAGTGTGTATAGGGGTAGAACCTTTGCCCACATCTTATTTTAATTAAGAATGAATGGCTTCACAGCAGTATTAGACACTTGGATCGCTTTTGCTCTGTTGTGTATGCAGGGTCACTGCTCTGTTGGCCTTAGAGAGTCATTTTATATTTTCTCAGCTGCTAAAGGTGCGTCACACATGCCTAGTTCTTAATGTGGACACCTTTTTCCTTTCAACTTCCTCTCACAGTAAAGGAAACCACAGTTTACACATCGTCCCAGTGCCAGGAGAGCTCTTATTGTATTTGTTTCCCTTTCTTGCAGGGCAAAAGTCGCCAGAGAATGTTTCTATTACATGAAGACGATAACTTGGGAATATTCCTCTACGTGTTTCTGCTGTCGGCCGGCTACTATTTGTGGCGTAGATGGACCTCAAACGACAATTTAAGCGCTGCCGATCTTGCAGGGAAATACATCTTTATCACAGGCTGTGACTCTGGCTTTGGACATCTGGCAGCCAGGACTTTTGACAAGAAAGGATTCCGGGTGATTGCTGCCTGCCTGACAGAAAACGGAGCTGCCAGCCTCAGAGCGGCTGCTTCCAAGCAGCTCCAGACAGTGTTTCTGAATGTGACAGACGTAAACAACGTCAGTTTGGTGGCAGAAAGTGTTAAAAAGGAAGTAGGAGAGAAAGGTAAGTGCTGGAATAACTAAATTCTGCCTTAAGTTGCCCAAAGATAGAGTTACCAGAACCGGACTCTGATAGGCTGTTCTACTCTTAGTATAGAGTAGTGTTGCCATGAAGGGCCCCAACCTGGTGACATTTCCACTTTGGTGCCACAGGCACAGGGGCCTCCTGGAGATCTGGACTTGGCCATCTAAACAATGAGCAAATGAATGAATGGGGATGTTTCTTTGTGGTGTGGGGTTGTGTAGCCAGTGTGGGGTAGTGTTTAGAGTGTTAGACCAGCATTTGGGAGACCGGGGTTAGCATCTCTACTCTGCTATGGAAGCTCGCTAGGTGACCTTAGGCAAATCATACACTGTCAATGCAACCTGTGTTGTAAAGTCATTGGAAGGATAAAATGGACCTCTTCTGGTTGTAGTCCGAGCGGCAGTGGAGGCGGAGGTTTAAGCTAAGGCCAAGAACAAGAACCACACTAGGGTTGCCAGCTCCTGGTTGGGAAATAGCTGTGGATTTTGGGGGTGGAGCCTCAGGAGGGCAGAGTTTGGGGCATAATGCCACAGAGTCCAACTTCCAAAGCAGTTATTTTCTCCAGGTGAATAGATCTCTGTCGTCTGGAGATCAGTTGTAATAGCAGATCTCTAGCCACCAGCTGGAGGCTGGCAACTCTAGTCATTGGTAGAGTACCTAATTCTGGATTGGGAAATGCCTAGAAATTTTGGGGGTGGAACCTGGGGAGGGTGGGGTTTAGGGAGGGGCAGAACCTCAGTGGGGTATTATACCATAGAGTCCAATGTCCAAAGTAGCTGTTTTTTCCAGGGGAACTGATCTCTGTTACCTGGAGATCATTTCTAATCTGGGAGACATCCAGGCTCCACCTGAAGGTCTGCAGCCCTAGTCATTGAGCCTCTCCCCCTTGCTGTAGAGCTAGATGGCTTCCCTGTTTCCTCCCAGAATTAAATCCGAACAAATGGTGACCATATAAACTAAGCTTATTATTTCAGTCTGGTCCTTGTATCTGTTAAACAACCTTAATTAAGTTTATACTAATATGCTGCTCATGCTCTACCTATATGAATGAACTGGTAACTTCCATTCCAATGTATCTGAAGAAGTGTGTGTGCACACGAAAGCTTATACCTTGAATAAAATTTTGTTGGTCTTAAAGATGCCACTGGATTCGATTTCTGTTCTGTGGATTTCTAATCAGTCGCAGCACACCACTCTAACCCACTACACTGACTCAAATGAAGAGATCCACATAGTATAATTTTTAGTCAGTTCATCACATTCTGGATTCTAATTGCAATAATACTGTCTAATTGCAATGATCTTACTGTATAATTCTCTGCCTTTTAGAAAACAATTTCAAATCATATAACTCTATGCCTATATGTTTCATCTGCCAATGTGACCAACTATCTTTGGTTTGTTTTTCTGTCTCCTTTCTTCACAGGTCTGTGGGGCCTGATCAATAATGCAGGGCAAATGGGACCCTCAGCGCCGACTGACTGGTTGAACATTGAGCACTTTAGAGAACCAATTGAAGTGAATTTGATTGGACTCATAAACGTTACATTAAATATGCTGCCCTTGGTAAAGAAAGCCAAAGGGAGAATAGTAAACATAAGCAGCATTGGTGGTTGTGTAGCAATATGCTCAGGAGGCTATTGTCCATCCAAATTTGGGGTGGAGGCCTTCAACGACAGTTTAAGGTAAAGTGATAATTGGCAGGGGAGGCTTGATCAGCTGCTTAAGAGAGAAATCTAGTCTGGGGGGGGGGAATCGCTCTTAAACATACCATGTGTTTTCAGGCTCAACCCAGTCCAAGCACAGGCAAGTGCCTACATATGGAGGATTCTACAGGCAGAGTTGCCAGCCTCCAGGTTGTAGCCCGACATCTCCTGGGGTTACAGGTGATCTCCAGGTGACAGAGTTCAGTTCACCTGGAGAAAGTGACCTCTTTGGAAGGTGGACTGTATGGCATTATACCCCACTGAAGTCCCTCTTCCCCCCCAAACCGTGCCTTCCTCAGGTGCCACCCCCCCAAAAAAAAAATCCCAACCCAGAGTAGTCAATCCTACCCACAGGGCTCAGCCAAACCCTTGTCCTTCCTCTTCCCTCAAACCTCTGTTCTCCGCCAACTACTCTTGAGAAGTTGATATGGGCTGAGATACAAGGAGAAGGCCTGGATCAGAATCTCCCATTCTTTCTTTCCAGTGACTCCTCACACTGCCTGCACAGCTGTTCAGAGACATGCATAGGTGAAATGGCAAGGACAAAACGTAGGAAAGGTTCCACCCTGATCTGGGCAGCCCAGGCAAACCCAGTCTCATCAGATCTCAGAAGCTAAGCAGGGTCGACTCTGGCAAGTACTTGCATGGGAGACCTCCTTGGAATACCAGAGGCAGGAGGTGGGGGCAGGCTTTACTCAGTCACCTCTCTGAATATCCTCCAGGCCCCCAGTAGGGGACAATCACCAGAGGTCACCATGGCTTCCAGGTGCACACAGAGTCAGTCACCAGAGGTCACCATGGCTTCCAGGTGCACACTCACTCACATGAACATATAAGTGTCAGGTTCCATCTGTGGTCTGGGAGCTGACCCGGCCGTGGCATCTGGCTACCCACCAGGGCGGACGGTCCTGGGAGTCGGAGAGAGTTTGTTAAGGAGGAGTTTGCCATGGGGCCTCAGATAGGCAGGGGACGGGGTTAACGTCACCACTTAAGTTCCTCTGCCGGCATGTGCAGGACACCTCTCGTTCTCCCTTTCTTTCTCGCTCTCCGTTTCTCTCAGCTCAGTTCTGTTGCACGTTTCTCCTCCCTGGCCCCTCTGCATCTCTCTCCTTTTATTCCCCCTTCTTCCCTCCCAGCACCACCTGTGTTCCCCGCCCCCCTCTACTCCCAGTCTGGCCCTGCCCCCGGTGATAAGCCCAGACGCTGTCTGGGTGTTCTGGGCGTGGTCGCAAGTGTGCTGGTGGTGGTCCTGTCGGCCCAGGGGCTGCGCCGCCACCCTGGGTGTTCTGGGCGTGGTCGCAAGTGTGCTGGTGGTGGTCCTGTCGGCTGCTCGCTGGGGCAAGGTTCTGGGGTGCAAGCTCCAGGGGCTGCACTCTGCCGATGCTACTGCAACCCTCTGGGTCGCCAAAGGTTGGCTCTCCCGGGGCTTTCTGCGATGAGGAGCCGGGCCACGGCTCCACCGGTTGCCATGGCGTTGTGGTTGCTCCGCTCCTCTGCTGGTTCCCAGGTGAGTCGGGTGGTTGGGGCATCTCTGGGGGGTGGGGTCTATGTCCCACGGCCACCGGACTGGGACAATAAGAAATACCCCCCCAAAAAAATTAAAAATAGGAAAGGTTCCTATAAGAATCATCTGTGCACAGATGTTGGATCTGCATATCACCTGGATCAAGCCCTTTTAATGTAGGTTGCTTCTTTGTGTACAAAGATGTTCAGAGAGGAGCAAGAAGGTGGAGCAGCACAGGGCATGTCTACCTCATAACAGCAACAATAACAACTTGGAACAGCAAGAATCCTGCAAAGATACATCTGTGGTTCCCAAGAACTTGGATAGGCCTCAAATTACAGAACACCATCTACCAGTCAAACATCTGATTGTGACAAATTGATGATGATAATAATGATGATGAATAAAGTTGATAACAAAAACATCTGGAAGTGGCTCCAAAAGGTCACTTGAAGAAAGAAATGGAACGAGTCATTCTAGCCGCAGAAGAGCAGGCTCTCGAAATGAAAAGTATGAAACTCAAGATCCAGAAGACCAGTAATAATAACAGCACATGTTGACTTTGCAAGACAAAGGATGAAACAGTCGACCACGTAGTCAGGGCCTGCAGTAAAATTGTTCAGACTATAAAGAATGTCACAATAGTTATGTTACACTAGACTCTGCAAGAAGTATGGCTTACCATCAACCAGAAATTCATGGGAGCACAAACCAGACAAGATCGTGGAGAATGATGAAACAAAGATTCTTTAGGACTTTCAGCTGCAAACAGATACACCTGGTGCATAATACTTCTGATCTCACAATTGTAGGAAAAAAATGAGAAATCGTGTTTGGATCACTGACATTGCAGAGACAATCACAGGAGACAGCAGAATAGAAAAGAAAGAACAGGAGAAGTTCCAAAATACCAAGACCTATGAATAGAGTACCCTTGGAACAGTGCCTAGGAGTTTCAAGAAACACCTGGATATTTTGGGCATTGAGCAAATAATACCAGCTCAACTCTAGAAGACAGTATTTCTTGGAACAGCAAGGATCCTGTGAAGATATAGCTGCAATACCCAAGAATTTGGCTAGATCTCAAATTGCAAACCATCTACCTGTCAAATATCTGACTGTAACAATTCAACAACAGCAACAACAATAAAGTGCTATCAACTCGCAACCAAATTTCAGTGATCTCTTATGGGGTTTTCAAGGCAAGAGTTATTCAGAGGTGGCTTGCCATTGCCTTTCTCTGCATAGCAACTCTGGTCTTCCTTGGTGGTCTGCCACCTAAGTACTAACCTTGGCTAAACTTAGCTTTCGAGCTCACAACAGCTTGGACTAGTCTGGTCTACCTTCTGGGGAAGATAATTTCTAAACGATCAGTTCAGTTCTGTGTGAATGCAAACCCAGCCATCTTGTGCCATTTCTCATGCCTACATTAAAAAAATCTGTATAGAACATTACTATCTGTTCAGCCAGTATGATATTGGAGCCATATACAGGGTCTGAGGAAGGCAAAAAACAATGATATTGGAGCCATATACAGGGTCTGAGAAAGGCAAAAAACAACAATGGCCCCGTTCACATGGAGCATTTGCCCCACTGAAGGCACGGAAGTCCTGTGGATTTTCCAGGTGCGATCACACCGCAACATCTGGGAAGCGCAGTGCTCCCGCAGTGAACCCGTGGCTTCCCGCCGAAGATGCGGATTAAAAAACTAGTACTTACGAGGTACTAGTTTCCAGAAACCGCGGGCCAAGGGCGGGCGTCTGATCGTGTTTCCGGTAGAATTACATGGCATCCGGCGTCCGCCGATGTTCGTTGCAAACAGGGGGGGGGTTCTCCCAAGTCTCCGCAGGATGCGCAAAATCGCCCAACAGTGCATGTGCACAAAGAGCGATTGCTAGTGTGATCGCACGGCGTGGCTTCTTTGCCGCGCTGCAGGATACTCGTGTGATCGGCATCTCTCCCCGACCACGGGACCTCGACCGGGACGTGTGATCGGGCGGCCGCGCATTATTTTCCTCTGGGGCAAACAGCCACGCTCCCCCCCCTATTTTCCGGCCCGTGTGACCGCCGCCAATGTTGATCTTACAAGCAGATACACTTGTAAGAACAACATCCTTTTTGCTTTCCTAGGCGCTAATATATGGCTCCAGTACCAATTACCAGACAATAATGTTTCCTATAGATTTGTCTTCTGTCAGTGTGAGAAATGACACACTTATATGGACTCATGACACAATGCTTCTCATATATCTATCAGTTTTAAAGCTCATGAAGGATAATTTCAGTTTGCAGTCATATGCCCATTTCCACTATTTCTCTCTCCATTTAACGTTTTTTTCTATGCTGCAAAGTGTTTTCTTTTTGTGGGAACCAATAAAGAGGAAAATGGAAGGCAATTTGTGTGAGCTCCAGCAGACGAAGATTGGCCTGTTGGGGAAGTGATATCTTAAGAGGGATGTGTTTCTCTGAAAACATCAGGGAACATTGCTGAGGTATTTGAGTAGCCACTTGAATTATTTTTTTTCTTTTTGCTGCATTGTGCTCTGGGTCTGTTTTGGAACAAAACCCTTAAAAAATTGTAATACAGCAGCTGCAAGGAGTCGGATGTAACAGAATTGAATAAAGGTTACCAGTGTCCATGTAGGCCTTAAGTTCTCTCAGAACTACAACTGATCTCCAGGCTACAGAGATTGGTTGCTCTGGAGAAGCTTCAGAGGGACTCTTTGGAAACCATAGATTTTAGGTGAAATCCCTCCCCAACCCCCCTTCCACAGGCAATGCCCTCAAATCTTCAGGAATTACCTAGGCTAGAGTTGGCAATCTTAACTGAAATCCAAAACTGACCCAGAGTTATAGATTGGCTACACATCAGGATAATGATGACAGCATATGAGAACATGAAGAACTTCTCATGTTTTTACCTCAGAGTTCAGGATTGATAAATTGTACCATAACCTCATGCATTTTATAATAGATATTGGGGGTTACATGAAATAAATATCTATAAGGGTTTCTATCTAGGGAAAATAATGCCCACGACACAAACTGAAATAAGTAGTGGCATCTTTAATTTACAGACGAGATATGAAAGCATTTGGAGTGAATGTGTCTTGTGTTCAACCTGGGCTCTTCAACACACCTCTCTCTGACAAAACCAAAGTGTGGGAAAGAAAATTAAACATTTGGAATGAGCTTCCTTCTGATATCAAAAAACAGTACGGCGAGGATTATCTAGCAAAAGGTAAGGAGTCAAGTGACTTTTTTCGAGCTGGTTGATTAAAGGCTGAGAGTTCATTTTGCTGCTGCAGACCAAGTGTGAACACACAAACATAGGAAGCGGCCTTAAGGTTACCCACACAAGGCTGGCAACAAGGAAGGGGGGCCAACCTGGAGAAGAATCTAGCCTAAGGTCTTCAGAAGTTGGTAGTGGGCTCCATGCTGGGTCACTTGGGCCGTAGCAGGTACCCAGTGCCAGTCCTTGTTCTCTGCTGTGAAACTCCTTTGGGCTAATTGCATGCCTCAGCCTAACCCACCTTACCAAGATGGGGGAGGACTCACCAGTGATGTAATGACATCACCAGTGATATGCTGACGTCACTCCCAGGAACAATGTCAGCATGATGGTCACTTTTGGGTGCACAGAGAGTGATGTCAGCACATTGGTAGGCTGCCCACTGCCCCTGATTTTCCCACTCATTTTAGTCCCACCACCCAGCTGAGCAGTGATGGGAAGTGCCTGCTGGCAGTGGGGAGTCCCCTGCCACAAGTGGGGAACCTGGCCAGACCATTGGTCCATCAAACTCAGTACAGTCTCCTCAAACTAGAAGTGGCTCTACGGGGTATCAGGGAGAGGTCTTTCACATCACCTGCTACCTGGTCCCTTCAACTAGAGATGCTGGGGATTGAACTTGGGACCTTCTACATGCAGAGGAGATGCTCCACCACTGAGCCGTGGCTCCTCCCCAGGGAGGGAGGTACTATGGCTTGCAAAGATCCTACAGAAAGGGGTGGCAGTTCTGTCCCAGTCCCTGACAGCTGTGTGCCTGGTGGTCCATGAGCCTTCTCTTGCCCCTTTGCTCCATGTGAAGTAGGCCCCTAACATGACCAATAGCAAGGAGACCATATTTTACAAGGTGGGAAGAGACTTTTTGCTCTTCCTTCCCAAATGGAGTTGTCTGAGAGGCTATAAAAAGCACCAGGTATCCTGCGGTTCCTCTCACTGCGAAAAAGGATAGTTGAGAGCCAGGTGTAGTGGTTAGAATGCCAAGCTAGGATCTGGGGGATCCAGGTTCAAATCTTCAGCTCTTTGAGTGTTCAGGCCAGGCACTGTCTTTCAGCCTAACCCTCCTCATGCTGTCCTTTTAAGGATAAAATGAAAAGGGGGGAGAACAATGTTGGAAGTCATTTGGGGTCCCTAGTGGGAAGAAAAGATGGGTATGAATATCTAAATAAAATAAATGGTTATATGTTAAGCGATGGGTTGGGCTCCATCCACATCGGGTGTATTTCAGCAAACCTTCCTTTAAGTAAATGATATGGGAGTGCTGTGAACTATTAATTATGTGTTCTTAGATAAAGAAACTCAGTGGTACTTAAAAACCATTAGCACAAAATTTAGCTTAAGCCCGTTTCTTCTCCAGTGTTACATCTGTTGCATATCTCCAAATATGTTGATTTTCTTCACACAGTACCAAGTGAGCTTTTTCACTCTTCCTCCATCAAGCTGAATTCACAGTTAGTCACAGATAGTGATTAAAATGTGGAATTTACTGCCAGAGGATGTAGTGATGGCCACAGGAATAGACGGCTTTAAAAGTAGTGATGGCCACAGGAACAGACAGCTTTAGACAGATTCATGAAGATTAGGTCTATCTGTGGCTACTAGCCATGGTGACTGAGGGGAACCTCCACATTCAGAGGTAGTCAGCCTCTGGATCCCAGTGCCAGGAGGCAGCATCAGTGGAAGGTCTCTGCCTCTATGCCCTCTTGTTGGCCCTCCAGAGGAACTGATTGACCACTGTGTGAGGCAGGATGCTGGACTAGATGCACCACTGGTCTGATCCAGCAGGTCTCTTAAGACTGTAGCATGTATAAATGAGGCTGTACGGTCTTCTGTGGGTAGGGTGGGCCGTACAACACAGAAGGAGATCCCTTGGGCTTTACTGCTTTATTTTGAGAAGATGCAAAGAGCTGAAAGGAATATTAAAACTGAAGAGTCCTCAGATAAACAGCTCATCGCAGCATGCTTTTCTTCCCCTGGTTTCATTCTCTCCCCAGATGCAGAAAAGAAAGAACAACTGGTCCAGAGGTTTCAGAACACAGACCTCTCACTGGTTGTGAAGTGTATGGAGCACGCCATAATGAGCAGGCGTCCACGGATCCGCTACAGTGCAGGCCGGGATGCTAATGTTTTCTGGATCCCCCTCTCCTACATGCCAGCTTTTCTACAGGACTATGTACTCATGAAAAATAAAGCTAAGCTGGTAGATCCAACGGCAGGGTAGTTTCCCTTCTTATGTTTATGAGCTTCCATTGTAATCTCAGCTGGTTGGCACAGAATAAAGACTGGATCTGTCTCAATCGCTGTTAGTTTAACCACATCCTTTAAAAGAATCCAATTCATGATTTAACACCAGCTCCAATGGAAAGATCGCTAGAGCTGGGTTCAGAGGTAAACAAGCGTCTGGGGATGAAGGCTATAATCATTTGTTGTTTATATTTTAAAAATAATATTCTTTGTTTCTTGAGGCAAATCTAGATTACATTGGATTTGCATGTGGCTGGTGAAATATAGGCAAACAGGTACTTAAACCAGCTGTTTACTAGAACAGAGACAAAATAATAGTCTTCAAGAAAACTTCAATCCTTCCCAGAATCTTTTTCTTTAAATCTGTCCTGTTCCTCTGTCCCTGTAACCTGTTTCTAATAAATGTAAGGCAGGTCACATGGCTCAGCTGGGAAAGGGGAAAACAGAAACTCCTTGAGGATAGTACCTGGGCAGTGTAGACGCCTACTCCTAAACAGGGACTAGAGCAAGGAACCTTCATGCCTAGCATAACCATCCCACAGCTCCATGATGCAATAAAAGGTAGGCTGGGACTTGCATAAGGCTGTTCTTGACTTAATGGAATATTTGAACAGGGTCAAATAATAAGCAGACCATTGCATATATGTGGAACTGGCCAGTGTCCCAACCAAACTACCCTGTTTATTGTGGCAATTAAAAGGGTGCTTTGAGGGCTGACAGTTATGAAAGTGCACTTCCAGGGAACACTTTCTTATCCCAAAAATGTCACTTGTTTAGGAGAGCCACATGCTATAGCAAGTTTGGAATGTAGCGACCTAAGTTTAAGGCAATGTGCTCTAGCAGCAAACAATGCAAAGAATCTATTGTTCTCCTGGGATCTCTTTGACCCAGCATCCCTTTGTCCTAACTGGGTCATTTTCTAGTTTACTGTTGAGAATGACAGTGTGTGGTGTGCTTTTTGAGCAGTTGTTAATTTATTGTGTGGTTGAAACTCTATTGTACTGTATTTTCAGATAACCTCTTCGTTTTTATTCTAAGCTGCTTCGGAAACCACTTTGCGGAGAGTTGTTACATTCGTTGAAAGAAGTAGATATAGTTTTGCATTGTATGGTTGTAGAAGAAGTGTTGTATGTTTTTCAAGTGGTGCTATATTGTATTTTGCCATGTGCATAGTCCCTTTTTTAATGAGTACTGGGGCACTTATAAAATGAATATATTGCTAAAATGCAATGATGTTTGAAGTGGGGCTTATGTAAGTATGGGACTCTACCACTATGGGGAAGTGTGCCTGTGCTTGTACACTCATTAATATTTATACCTTGGTTCAGCTATGGTAAAACCACTGTAGATGCTTTCTTCCTTTGACCAGTAATCCTTTGTTCCATTTGATAAAGACATTCTAGTCTTCAGTAAACATCATTGTGTTTGCCTGATGCACCTGTTACACCTTTCTCTGGGGGAAAAGCCATTAAACCAAGCAAAGTCTGTATACAATTCAAATTGCCTTGTTATAGAGCCCCCAACAAGGGAGATGTTTGATTCTTGTTTCATCCATTCATTCTGTGTCCTCTTAATATGGAAAAATATGGTTAGTTCCCATAAGCACTATAAAAAATATAACTCAGGTATGCTTTGTGCTACCAGCTTTTCACAATGCCGTGGAAGCATTTCGCACACAAGGCGTGGCTCAATGATACCTTTTGAGTCTTTTATCAGAAACTGGTTGATTGAAGGTGTCCGTGATCCCCATGCAGTCTTTTGCAGACTTAAACTTGTTTGAAAAAAACTGACTTTTAACTCTTACTGCAGCACCGAAGATTGGTACCCCTTTTGCAAGTTTCAACGTTTGACTTAGTTAAGCAATTAGATATAAATAATGTAGATTTCTTTATTGTTTGAAATGCCTGATGCCTGTCTTCTTTCTGAGTTTCCTTGAATAAAAGTTTTATTTTGGATAAAATATATTGGTGTTCTGGTCTTTCTGAATAATTTCCCCTTAAAAACAGCCACAGCCATGCTGTTTGGTGTTAAACAACTGAGTTCTAATAAGCAAACTCTGTGCTTTTCAATTCAGAGTTCATTCTGTATCTCTGAATTTCCTCAGTATCATGTAGTGAGGCACTTAGGAACAAGATTCTAAATCAGATGCTGTGCTGGCAGCCCTTTGAAATAGGGTCAGCCTATGAGCTGCTGTACAGGTTTTTTGAAGTGGAGATTCTTTTACCCCGAGAACTCTAATACATGAAACACCCCACATATGTTGTGTCATGGGTGCACAACCAGACTGGCAATCAGACATATATCTGAGGAACTTACCTTGAACAGTGCCCATTTGCTTAGCACTGTGCCCTAGAAAGGACACAGGGAGCCAGAGAAAAGGGTTAAGAAGTCCCCCTGCCACTGTTTCCATTGGTGAAAACAGGCTGGAAGGGAAACCAGAGGCTCCGTCCCCCCCCCCATTTCTCCCTCACAGCCCCAGGCAAACAAGCACTGTTTAAGGTGAGTTCCTTGACTTATGCCTGACAGTGAGTCTGGATCTTCGACGTGGTCTCTGTGCTTCACACCCATGGGTTTCAGTGCACACGTGCTGGATCTATCGGTGCTGTAACAAGCTCTTTTAACGGATTTTCGTGCCCAGACCTCGGGCATGTGCAGGAACCCCGCCAGTTCCTTTCTTACCGCCGCGTTGGAAAGACCTTTTTCTTCGTTGGTCCAATCGGTTCGTGTGTCTTGGCTTTTTGCCTCACGGCTCTTCCCCCTCAATTTATTCCTTTTCTTCATTGTTCTTTCAAAAAACTTAAAAAAAAAAACTGCTGAGGGGGAGGTTGCCACTTTACCTCAGCTGAGCCTTCGAGCTACCCCCCCTCACCCCTTCTTTCTTCTTCATTTTGATTTTTATGGAGAAGTGGGGCTTTTTTTAATAGGTGCAAGGGTTGCAGAAGTAAACTTGCTCCCCCTGACTGTCATACCCTTTGCATATTTTGTCTCGGAGAGTTTCATCGACCAGAATCCTGTCGCCACTGCACTCGCTTTTCAAACCAGACCCGAAAAACCTGAGCTGCGCGCCTTAAAGTGGCCCTGCTAGAATCGGCTCTATATCCTTCCTCAGCAATGGACGGCGAGAAACCATCAACATCAACGGCTCTGGCATCGAGGCCTGCCTCCGATATCGGCCAACCGACACCGAAGCCTCCGGCATCAAAGGCGCAATCCTCCGCTTCCATGCCAGTGAAAAAGAAGTCCAGGGCAAGTAAGGAGCAAAAGTCCGCAAAGAAGGGCTCTTCCAAACCCCTTAAGGTGGCAAAGAAGGGGAAAGTAGCGGTGGCTGCACTGGGTGATGCCCCTAAAGTGCCTCCTGCTCCAACGACTGTATCGATACCGGAGGCCCAAGTCCCTCCACCGATACAGACCATCCACGTCTTGGACTCCCCTGTCCACCAAATGGAGCGTCCTTACTCCAACATCGAAACGGTAGAGCTCTTAAGTCATCAAATGGATGGAAAGCCTTCTCTGTCTCCTTCCCCATCGTCGACGGTATCGGAAGCTCCCGACATCGATCCACGTCGGCACTGATACACTTCATGCGACGCGGAGCATCACCCTCCACGTCTGCACAGTCAATCTTTCGATATCGACAACTGAGATTACGTGGGCTCCTCTCAAAGACATGCTACCGCTTTGTCTCCGAGACGTCCATGGTCCAGAAGTCGATCCCCACGAGTCTTCTTGCCCCCGCCACCACCTCTGTCTTGGGATCAACGACAGATAAGGTATCTATATGGGGCTTATCTACCATCCTGGCCATGGCTGACTCAGGCGAGCTATTCCGACTGGGATAGATATTCATCCCACTCTGCTCATAGATCAAGATCGCCCTACAGGTCAAGACCTTCAGCATCTCTCTCTCATCCTCCTGCAGACAATCCTGCCCGGCATAACTTGGATCACAGTCGTCCTCCCAACCCTCAGGTCGTTCAAACCCCAGTCGTTTCCACCCCTGTCGTTCCACCAAGACCTTTAACTGGTCAACAGGATACTCCTGTCCAAATGCCACACCAGGAGTCCTCTGATACAATGGAAGACAATTCCTATACGGAAGCATCTGAGGCTCACACCTCCCCTGATCATAAGTCTCCTAATCAGGCTGTCGCTGATGATTTGCCCATCTCCCCATCCGACAATCTCTCGTCATACACAGATCTTGTAAAGAGAATTCCCTAGGCCTCTCTGTTGTTCAGCAACACCCTGTCAGCTATGCTGCCATGGGGGTTGGGGAGTTCATTCTGTGTCTTGTAAATTGCTATTGCATTCCTATCCCTGCTGTTCTGCATTTGCTGAAACGCTTATCTCGACAGATGTGCTGGAGGAGGTTGTATTGACTGGAAGTCTCCCATGTACCGTGAGAGACCCCCAGTTCCCAGCTTTAGCCACCTAACAGTTTCTTAACTTGTCCCACGCGTGGGAGGGTATCTAATTGGCCCATGCCATGGGGGGTGCATACGAATACCCTATATCTTATTATGCTCTATTGGTTGCCACATTTTTAACAGTTTCAAACTGCAACATCACATTTCAAACACTTTCAAACTAAGTTATATAACATGAAGAGTCCAACTGTATTCTTCCTGATGGAGGATAAATACCAATGTACAGTTATTCGTACCGAACAATGCAGCAACCTATTGTACATTTCCCAAGTGATGATCCATCAGGTAAAGCTAGCATAAGGTGATTCAGCTAACAAGCTAGGCTTGCTTGCTAGCTGAATCACCTCATGGGAAAATACATCTACTAGGCTTGCTTGCTGAGCTGAATCATGACAGTGAGAAATGCAAGCTGAATCATCACAGTGAGAAATACAATGATCCATCAGGTAAAGCTAGCATAAGGTGATTCAGCTAACAAGCTAGGCTTGCTTGCTAGCTGAATCACCTCATGGGAAAATACATCTACTAGGCTTGCTTGCTGAGCTGAATCATGACAGTGAGAAATGCAAGCTGAATCATCACAGTGAGAAATACAAAACCTCCATACCAAAAACCAAGGTTTGGATCTGGGCAACAAACTCCAAGCAGAGTTTTTGACTTCCCTGTCACTGAATCAGTTCATACCCGTCTATCACCAGAACCCCATTACTCCTGTCGTCGTCTCCACACCCCCTTCCCCACCTCTCATGGAAGAGGTGTCCGTCCTTCTGCAGAAGGGAGCCATCGAACAGGTATCACCACACCTCCACGGGATGGGATTTTATTCCCGATACTTCACAGTCCCGAAGACAGATAGAGGCGTTCGACCCATTTTAGATCTAAGGGCACTGAACTGTTTTGAAACCTACCATCGCTTCTGCATGGTGTCCTTACAGCAGATTATGCCACTCCTACGGAAACACGTCTGGATGGCCACCCTCGACCTCCAAGACGCATACTTCCACCTCACCATCCACCCCTCCCACCGCAAATACCTACGCTTCGCGATTGGTCAACAGCATTACCAGTATGCAGCCCTGCCATTCGGCCTGTCCAGCGCCCCAAGAGTCTTCACGAAGACTATGATTGTGGTTGTGGCTTTCCTTTGTCTCCGGGGTATCTCCATTTACCCTATATCGACGATTGGCTTTTGATAGCGTCTTCCCAGAATGCCCTGGTCTCAAACATCACCAAGACACTGGCACTACTAAAAGTCAATCGAGAAAAGTCTCAATTGAGTTCAGTCCAAAGAATAAAGTACATCGGCGCTATACTAGACTCCACAACATGCATGGCTTACCTGCCTCAAGACAGAGAGGCAGACATCATTTCCTTAGCCACCATTGTCCATATCCACCCTTCTGTCACTGCCTTCGAAATCCAAAGGCTACTTGGCCTTATGGCTGCAACTACGTTGGTTCTCATCTTTACAACTATGGTTCATCTGGAATTACAACCCAGTGAACAACGCTCACACTGTCATCCTATCCCCCCCTCCCAACATAAGAGACTCGTTACTTTGGTGGACTGCCCCTTCCAATATCTTCCAGGGAGCACCCTTCCACTCTCTGTTACCCCAAATCACCCTGACCATGGATGCTTCCCTGTCGGGATGGGGTGCACACATGATGGGTCTGTGCGTCGGGGACAAGTGGAACACCCACGAGCAAAGTCGACACATAAACCTTCTAGAACTGCTCGCAATTCAGTTCGCGGTCACGAGTTTCCTACCAATAATCAAAGGGAAATGTATTACGGTCCTCATGGACAATACCACCGTGGTCTCCCTACGTCCCTGCAACCTCGCCATTCAGTTATGGGACTTTTGCATCGCCCACGACATCTTTTTGGTAGCCACACACATCCCAGGTCACCTGAATGTGCAGGCAGATCATCTAAGTCGAGCAAGGCTCAGTCTCCACGAGTGGGAGATGAACCCGTCCTATCTTTTCCCACTCTTCTGCAAGTGGGGATCTCCCCAAGTCAATGTTTTCGCCACCAGAGCTAACAAAAAATGTCCCCTGTTCTGCAGTCAACGCGGCAGGAACTCACAATCGCTCAGAGACAATCTCCTTCTTCCCTGGCCCTCAGGCCTTCTGTACCTTTTCCCTCCTTTACCCCTACTTCTGAGAGTGGTACTCTGAGAGTGGTACGCAAGATCATTCGAGACGGAGCGGACTGCATGTTGATAACACTGTGGTGGCCGAGACAACCATGGTTCTCGACAGTCCTTGAGTTGTCAAAGGGAATGTACCACCAATTACCACCGGTACAGGACCTCCTCTTCCTGTCAGACTCCCCTCTCTTACATCATGACATACCACGCTTGAAATTGACGGCGTGGAGAATAACGTCA